AAAAAAAAAAACACACAAAGACAGGGGAGGAGTTTCCTTGGTAACTAACACTCAATGCTAACATCCTGGAACAATCAGGCCTAATTGCAAGGTATTTTTGCTTTCTGGACAACCTGTATTTCCTCTCTAAGCATTTCTCCAATAATTTAAGCCATCTTCTACTTAGCTCTAAACTGTAGAAGAAAGCACAAAAAGGCAAAGTTTATATGAATGTATAAAGCAAAATAATAGATTCAGAAAACATGGGGATTCTTACCAAGCAGTTAAGAGAGTAATGGAAAGAGAAAAAGCTTAAGAGAAAACAGTACAGATAAACATACCATCATAAGCACCTAAAATTCTTTCTCCATTTCCCCAAAGACACCATCTCACTGTCTAAGATTGCCTGGCTTCCAACTTTGAAATGATGGCTCGTTATGAAGAGCAACAGCAGAATTTCCCCCCTTGAGTCCCCACATCTCTGAAACAGTACCAATTTCAGAAATCCCTTCCCAGTTTTCATCATTCTGCCTCCCAATAGTCACATATTTTAACTATATTTTTGGCAGGCAAATGGAGTGCAACGAGCATGTCTCCTGTGTAACACTGCCTTGGAACTTCACGCGGTCTGATGCGATACCAGATCTCATCAGAGCAGTGTGTTCTTCCCGTAATTAAAAGAATCTATGCACACATGAGCGGGGTAATCCAGAAGGGAGGAACCGGCCTCTAGACAGGGCTTGGGCTAATAATAAAGTTCAGGAGTACATAAGCAAGTAAAACAGGCAAGGGAAAGTCAAAACGATTCATGCTCCAATTATAGTGGCCAGAAAAAAACTGAATTAGATGCAGAGAAGCCTAAGTCTCCAATCATCCACAAATGAGAAGTTGGAAAGTTCCCAGGTTTGAACGTGGCAGAAGGAAAACTAATAACTCACGAATGGCCCTGAACTGTACCATGGGGAAATGGTTCTATTTGCTCACAACATATTTCCTGTATGTTTCTCCTTCCTTTGTTTCCAAGAGCATTTTCAGAAGAAAATATGACCTCTGATCATTTTGCTACTTATTCTCCACTAGAAATCAAATTCCTCCACCTACAAAAATCACAGTCATGACCGAAGAGGTGCCTGCCATGTCTCCTAAATTGCAGGAAGGTTTGAGAACGTTACAGAACAAAAATCCAGTTGTCATGCAAGTGCCCCTTGTCATAAGAAAAGAAAGGAGGAGTACAGCGCACATAGTGGGGGGCAGAAAAAGCCAAGTTTTCCAAAGAGCATGATTTTCAAAAAATGCCATGAGGTGGCATTCGTGGAACAAGCTGCCCTGCTTTTGGCTGTAAAACAATAGTTGGATTTCTCTACTCACGCATAATGCGGACAAGATACAATCTGTCTCTCTGTACCATGAATCTCTTCACCCACTGACTAATCTGAATGACACCAGTGAAAATCAGCCATCCAGTGCGGCTGCCAAAATTATGAGAGCTTCACTGGCAGCCAGTATTGAGAGATGGATAAATTATTTGGTTAGAAACTAATTACACACAGCCTGAGGGGGCCTTGTGGTTCATATTGTGCACAACAATAAAGAAAAATGGGGCTTGGCTACACTGACATCAGAAATCTTCAGTGCTGGGTTGTCTGTGGAGCCAAGCCTCTTCTCACTGAGGAAGAAACACTTTTAGGGGTACAAGAGTAGCCCACCTCAGCATCTCATCAATTAGCAAACAGAACTAACTGCATAATTAAACCCTGACCCACCTAAAGGCTATGTAAAGTCTAGAACACAGACCAAACTATCACATATCCTTTATGTCAGGCAAGATCAGAATAAATAGGCAAGCAAGTAAGCACTTGAGGAGGGTTTGACAGACAGATACAAACCCAAAAGCATTTTGAGCCCTCTTGCTTACAGAGATTTAGCTGAGTCACTCAAAAGATTCGCTAGAGCCACTCATTTTACTGTAATACTGGTTTGTTGCCCTTTTTTTATTTATTTTATTTTTTCTTTCAGTATCCTATCTTCTCTGAAAAGCCAGTAGGATTTTAGTATTAGAAAACTATTTCAATATATCCTGCTTCCTATGAAGGGAGGCTAAGGAACCAAAGTATTTTCAAATACGCATTTGGTATTAAAAACAGAAACTAGCTTTATCTTGCCCTTTGAGCAACCTTCACCATTTCACGTAAAAACAAAACTTTTCTTTCCTCCAAGTACAATGCCTGCAGCTGTTACTAAACACAACTGCTTCTCTGTTTTATTTTCATTCACTATGGCTTACCACTACAAGTCCTGTTGTCGGAATTCAAGGAATAGTGAGCTGGGCAGCCGCAGACAAAGCCACCGACAGGGACTGCTAAGCAGAGGTGAGAGCAGTGACCGTTGCTGGAGGCGCACTCATTCCAGCCCGCCTGCCTGGAGGAGTGGAAGACCAAGATGTCCATAACATAATCCAAATGTCCTTGGATGATGGTTCGGTTCTGGCCACTGGTCTTGTTGGCTCGTTCAATGCTACGCCGGCTCCAGTCTGTCCAGTAAATGTAATCCTGATACTGAGTCAAGCCAAATGGGTGAGGCAAGTCATCAGCTATAATCTCACGGTCAAGGCCTGTTTCAAAAAAGGAAGGGAAAGAAAAAACTGAATTACATGAGGACAAACAATATGCTGATTAATGCTGTGGGACACATCCCCTGCATGGGAAGTTTAACACAAAATTAATTACTTTAAAGTTACTATTTCGTTATTACAAAAGTAATGCACAACGTTGAAAAGACCATCCCGAATCTCAGAGCCTGTCACAGAAATGTGCTAATCCTGCTTGTGGTTCACAGACGAGAATGTATTTTACTAAAGAAGATTCTGTCCTTTCCCTCCTCCCCAAAACAAACAGGTTTCCTATGAAGGAGATGTAGGACCCAGACGCTGCATTCTCAGTTCAACATCTCTTGCACCACATTTGGGTCTCTGCCCACTGCTTACAAAGAACTGTTATGAGCTTAATAAAACTCTACACTGTATGATGAGAAAAACTAAATGCACAAGGTTAAACTAACCTGTCTCTGGAATGCTGTAACAGGAAGGAGCACTCAGAAACTCAAGGTAGGAAACAGTTAATCGTGTATACCATGGAAAAGTTAAGAAACCTTAAGGAGCAGGACATGGGGAAGGGAAATTATTTCAACCAAGTTACTTCTACCACTTCATTACTATGGGATGTCCTGCTGTCTAGTCACAGAAAATGAACTGGAGATTGTGAAGCAAGAAGTCATTCCCTCTCTGCATAGAGAAGACGAGGATGCACACACAGCTCTGCACTCTGCCTTCACTAGCCACAGGGAAGATGAAATTCTAATGCTGTGTCCAGTTCCACAGTACACAGGAGAACGCTGAGCCAGCCTCAGCAGCACACCAAAATAAAGGAGAAGCTGAAGAAAAGCTTTTATATTATATGTAATTCCTATAATACATTTCCCTGTTTTGATCTTTTTCCAGCTCTGTTCCACTACTGCAAATGTGCAGTTTAAAGCAGAGTAATTTCTTTAGCCTTAAATATTAGCTAGTGATAATGCTAATCTGAGTAAATTTGCACACAACAAGGCAGTCCCCACCTGTGAGTGCTGAAAAGTTAAAAAATAAGATACTGTGCAAATCTGAGGGGGCTTGGGTCCTCATTACACTACCCCAGGGCAGTGAAAGAATGAAATATTCCACCTCCATTTAGCTGTAATGACCAGTTTATAAAACAATCACACAGACTCTAGTGTGAGAGAGCATGCCCCTGATGATCAGTACTAGCCAGGAAAAGCTCCTGGGAAAAAAATGCCTGAACTCTGAGGGTACCAACAAAGATTAAAAACCAAATTGTATTAAATTACATTGTGAGACATGTCCAATAAGGCTGTTGTTATCTTGGCTTTCTCTCTACCTTTCTACAGATGAGAAAGTGTTTGTTATGTATTTGCCGGTGCTCTTCAGAGAAGCAAAACAAAACTCCAAAACACTGAAAGTCGACAGCTTTGTCCTACATATAACTGAAAACAGGTACAGCCTGTATAATTTTGACTTTGTGAGCAACTATGTCACCTACAAGAAAATCGAGACCTCACTAAATGCTGTGTTGCATAAACATCAATTACAGAAGCAAACATTAAAGGCATGTGAGTTTGAAAAAAAATCTGTTTTTATCTTAAGACATGTATCTATAATTAGGCAATATTTTGCCACAGGGAACTGTGAAAAAGTGTCAGCATCCCCATGACACTGCCCAGTACTTGAGGGCTCACCTAGCATGTTGGAGGACTCTATCAGGTTGGTATCAAGGTCAGTCCAGTACAGTCGTCTTTTAGCATAATCAATAGTTAGGCCATTAGCACGTCCCACATTCGGTACCAAAGTAGTCCGCTCGGTGCCATCCATAGCGGCTCTATCAATTTTCGGCTTACCACCCCATTCAGTCCAGTACATAAACCTGATTAAAAGGACAAAAAAAAAAAAAAAAAAGATCACATTTATCCAAAAGAGAACTCAAGGAGAGAAACAAAACAAAACTTCTTAGAAAGAATAAGAGAAAAACAAGAGCTGTAAGTTTGAGCAATTATTAAGTCCCATTCCACTAAATGTTTTTTCAAAATACAAGTAAGGAAGTGAGTCAGATTTCCTGAAAATGCTTCCAACATTATTTTTTCCACTTGGAGCTGGATTTTCACCAGCAAGTTCTGTATGACAGCACTTCAATCCATGCACGTCAGTTAAGAGGCAGAAGGTTGGCAGTTGGGCATTTTCGTTTCTACCTGCTTATTTAGCAAGATGTTTTCCATGGGATTTAGCTTCTGTTTCTAGTCATTTGTTCATCAAATGAAGAAATACAAAAAAGGCAGACATGCAGAGTACTTTTGTTAATAGGTGTCATTGCTTGTCTTCACGCAACTAAGTCAGTGAGCCATGTAATGGTGTGTTAAATTTCAGCTAAGGGCAGAGTAACACAAAACTGTGTGGCGTTTACACTGGAGCAAAAGTATAAACTCTCACATACTCACGTGTGGGTTTATGCCTCATTTGGCAGAAGCACAGACGTGCACACATTTCCATTTTCTTTAGGCACTGTACAGTAGAGGGCTGTATATTTGACACTTGCTGTCAAGTAGTCAGTTGCTTCTTCCAAAACGTAAAGCCAACATCATTTTACAAATGAGACATAACTAGGCAATGCTTACACTTTTAGCCTTTAATGTCTTTAGAAACAAACCCTTGTGAAATGATTTTAATTTCAACCAACCACACAGTGGGAAAGGTTGCTTCTCTAACAATCTGGTCTTGGATGCCCTCTGACGTACTTGCCTAGGCAGCCCCTGAAACATCAGGGCTGAACCCCATCTACGCGTCCCACTGAGGACAGTGCAGAACTCCACTCGGGTAAGCCCTGTCACAGTTGCCACCACCTTGCTGAAATGAAGCAGGAGGAACGTGTTCGAGTGGTGCAGAGTTCTCTGCATTACTGCAACTCTTCCAGTGTCACTGGAAATGCAGTAATTTCATAACATTTGAAAATGAAGTTCCCTCATTTGAAAAATAAGAATAATAGAATGCTGGTATAACCACAAAAAGGTTTTGCAGTATTTAGTTAATGTCAAATGGGCATTTCATGGTAGAAAAGCTATTTCAGAAGCTAAATAGTTCTGTCTTGCCTTGCCCTGCTCCTTTCTCCCTCCCCTCTCCCCATGCTTACTGCCCTACTTTTGCTATTACATTTGAATCCAACTGAGAAGTTTCTTCTCAGGAAATCTTTCATTTTGGGGATAGGCAAGTATAATTGTTTCCACTCTTTCTCTGTCCTTGCTTCCCTTGTCCATACCTACTAAAAAGGCTCCCTTTATCTGAAGAAACAAACACCTTCCTTATTCTCAGACAATAAGCTTCACTCCCCCACTCTCAAGTTGAATCATTAAATACCTTTATTGGACCCTAACTTGTGATAAAAGAGATCCTCATTTTTAAAAGGACAAATATTTTCTTTTCAATGCTATAGTCCTTTTCTAATTAATGAATTCCATAAACCTAAAACTTCTTTGATTCTGCGGTTAATTAAAAAACTAAATATAAATCCCTTTTTAATGAGCTGCTCTGATTTTTTTTTGTAGTATTCTTAATGATTATTCAGGACATTAAGAGCACATTCCTCCAGCCCTCATATTCTAAATTACCAGGTTGTATTCCCCAGCTCAGTTCTCTCAGGATTTACATGCAGCGCCTAACTAACATGCCCTAGAGGAAGCATTACAATGTTGTTTTTCACCAGTCATAAACGTAAAATTAAATCAGCAGGTTACCCCTCAGCTGGGTCCAATGCCAATGCTCGGGGACTGTCAAGATCTTTCCACACCAGCACTTGGCGATGCTGCCCATCCAGCTTTGACACTTCTATACGGTTTGTTCCAGTATCAGCCCAATACAAGTTCTTCCCCAGCCAATCTACGGCCATGCCTTCTGGGTAATCCAAGCCAAACTCCACTACGTGTTCCAGTGCACTGCCATTCATAAACGCTCTGCTGATGGTCTGCAGGGACACAAAGATACACAGGCAAATTGGAAATTTTACCAGTCTGTCAGTGGGTTGGTTGTTTTCTTTGTTGCATTTTAAACACTTTCAGATTTTAGGCATCTCATAGGAAAGAGGATCTTACAATATGCTACTTATTTGCAATGTGAACAATGCTGCTATTCAGAAGTAGTGATTTACTGTACTCTATGAATGTATTCTGTGTCAATTACAATAGCATTTCACTGGGGGAAAAATGGGATAACTAGTCTGGTTCAACTAAGTGCTCTACATGCCAAAGTGACCTTAATATCTCAGAGCCAGCTTCAAGGGGGAAATATTTTGGCTCTCCCAGGACTACACAAAAGCATCGATGTTATAGCACAGAACAATATTTAAAGCAGCCTAATGAAAAAGTCCAACACCAAACAGCAAATAGAAGAAAACAACCTAATGGCTGATTAGCTCACTAGTGCAAGTGCTTCAGTACTGATGATTTATTTAATTTCACTAAGCATAATTTCTTCTTGGTCTTTTGAATAAAAGACTTCTCTTAACTCTTGCCATCATGGATCTGCCTGTGATAGCAGATAAAATCAGAATTATATTTTAATAATATATTGGAATTTAGGTATTCCTTGATTCACTATGACCAATTATAAGCCCAAAAGTAAAGGAAGAACATTAGGATGGTACAAAGTTCTTTTTGGTAAACATAGGCTTCCTTTCTGTGTCCCCAATATTCTGCTCCACACACACTCCTCATACTCGTAATGCATCAGAAGTTAACACAAAGATTGATTTTTGTTTACTTCCCAGTGTGGACTAATTATGCCACTTTGTGACAGCACACAGCAGGGAAGTTCCCATCTCAGTCTTCAACTGTATCACCCTTAAAAACTGATCAGATCTTTGCTTTATTTTTATTTCAAACACAGCTCAAATTAATACCATACCTAAATGGTTCAGCCAATTCACCTCCCAGACTCACTTAAACTCTGTGTTTTTAACTTTCATGATTCTTCAGTTGCAAAGGTCCATGAGTTACTGTTGGCACAGGTCTCAACCCAACTGCAGAAAACTTCCATTTGTTAAAAACTAATTTTTGGTGCTCACAATTCTGACTATCTCTACAATCCATAAAAACCAAAGGGAATAACTAGACTCACTGGTAAGAGAGATAACAGGCAAGACAATAACACAGGTTTCTGTCATTCCATTAACGATGACATTTAAACACCCTCAACCTTTTCCAATTTGTCAGTCTAGACCCTAGACCTGCTCTACAAAGCCTGTGATTCACAATGCCTCATGTGCAGTACCTATATAAGTTAATGAATAGGCAAGACCTGTTTTCACTTCCTGACCCAAGACAAGGCTTCCCCCCCACATTAAACATATTTGTAAAAACATCTGTGATCCTCAAAATCTCCTGCCATACAGCATTCTTCTCTGCTTTCTGCCAAAAGACTTTATTTTTGCAAACTTTGCCTTTATATGAAAATGTATACATTAGATTTAAATGCTTTAGAGGAGAGAATGCTGCTAGTAAACAAAAACGCATGCCATTCTTAGAACAAGCTCTTCTGCCTCTCCCTTGAATCTTGTAAATCACATTTGTCAATTAAGTATCTCAAGAATCTTGTAACAACTTAACAGCCAAGATGGAATAAAAACTCTACCTTCAGTGAGATGTCAGTCCAGTAAATCCGATTGTCTGTCACATCAAAATCCAGAGCAGAAGCTTCCTTGACTCCCGTAAGTGGAATAGCAACGTTGTTGTTATTTGTTTCTAAAGAGATCCGTCTGATATCCGCTCTCCGAGAAAACAGCAGGAAAGCTTCTGGGACAATGCAGGTCTTCATATCATTGATGAGCTCCAAGCCTATGGGGCAAGCGCAGCGAAGGCCTTGTGGTCTGTACAGGCAAAGGTGGCTGCAGCCGCCGTTATCCTCCGCACAAGGGTTTGTACCTGTGCGTAGAACAAATGCAAGAGCGACCATTGCAAACTGACTTCAGTTGGAAGATGAAGCCAGTCCTCATATACATCAACAACATTGCAAGTCCTTTAAGAAATATGCAGTTTTTAACTTTCTATTCTCTGAAGTAATTAATTTTGTTCATTACGTGTAATCCTTTAGACAGATGTTACTCTACATTGCTGGAAAGCCAGCGCTTGTTTTCCTGATCCCACAAAACAAACCCAGTATTAGGGAAAGGGATCTGAACTCCAACAGCTACTGATGTTCCAGATTCACAACACAAGCACTGAATGGACAGTAAGTACATAAGTAAAGAAGAGTATGTTCTGCTGTCTTTTACGGTACACTGGTTCAGTTATGTACCCCAACTGTACTCCTAGAGTCCAAAAATCTGCAGATCTATTTTCGCATCCATTCAACAGCCTCTTCTCTCCAGGATCAGGCTGTTAATAAAGCAGCTTTTTGCAGTACTAACTTGTGTACCTGCACATGCTGGAAATCCACCCAGTAAGAAAGGCCCAGCATTACCAAGCTCAATTAGCCAAACAGCTGGAAAGAGGGCTGCATTTAAAACACATGTACCTTAGGGGATCTTGTTAGTGTGGTAGCAGCAATACAAAAATCCATCTCAACTACATTTGATTAATTCCCTGGGGTACAATCCAGACACGGCAGGAAGAAGCTGCAACCTCTATCCGTATAGCAGGATATTCAGGGAATGTGGTGAGTTCTGCGACACCACAGTTGCACTGCTAACAATGTCTGGATAGCCAATTTAAGCTAGGATCCTGCATTTTTACACCACAGACACTATAGGGCAGAAAGTACTGCTAGTTATTTTTAAAGAGGTTTTTGCCTCACATTAAAGTGAAAAGCACTGAACAGACTAAAACTGGCTTATTCTTAGCTTTTGTATACCAGGAGCACATGTTCAGACTGAAAGATGAAAAGCTGCTACAGCTGCAGCTCCATAAACAGCTGGGCTAATCTAATAGCTGGCTATTACAAAGAGAAGTTCTCATTTTCCACAATCCTTCTCCCCTTTCTGGATCCAGGGTTAATCAGACCTATGAGCTGCTCCAGTTTCCTAAGCAGCAGAAAATTATCTACTTTGGGGGGTACCTGGTTGTTTTCCAGTTTGATATTCTTCCAAGCTAGAGAACTGAAGCACCTCACAAAAGACCTAACCCATCCCATAAAACTGCAGCCTTCAGTTACCATGCAATAAAATAGGATTCTGCCAATTTCTAAAAATCTGACCTGGTATAAAGTGATAGCTGCAGAAGAGCATAGCTAACATTTTCTATTGCATTTCGCTTGCCTGATTAGCAGTCTCACTCACCAATTATCTGGCGGACATTTGTAGCTTTCAGGCCCATCAAATCAGGCAGTTGATCTATGATGATCTCTCTCTCTGCTGTGCGCTTATGCACGCGTTCAATACTGCGTCTTTGCCAGTCTGTCCAATAAACGTAGTCTCCCAGCAATGTGAATCCAAAGATATGAGGCAGCTTGTCCTCCACCAGAACTCTTCTCCCAGTTCCATCAGCATTCATAACCTGAGAATGTATACAGACTTGTTACAAATACAGAATAATTATGTCACTATTTATCAGAGATTAATTAACTTGCTGTTCCACACAGACTTTGAATTAAAAAATAATCTTCTAGCCGTTAAAATGCTATCAATGTTCTACGGCAGTCTAATAAAAAAAGAACTATTTCAACAGGTACTTTTTCTAAGTGCCACACTAAATCCTTTACATATAAGGCTAGTCTTATAAGCACATCATAACATGAAATTATAACACAACATTCCTTATATTTGCTTTAGGAACCAATGTCACATCTGCTTGTTAGATGTTACCTCTCTCTCTCCTTTTTTACTTACACCTCTTGGTTTAGTTTTAGATGGGAGACACTGTGTTTTACACAAATGAAGACAAGCTTACAATGTCAAGGAGTCCTGGTTCAGCATCTTGTAGTCCACGGTCGCTCCTGAGTGAGCTTTACCCAGGTTACAAATAGCAATAAAAAGAGGCCCCACATAATTTCTTGGTGGCAAATAGTTAAAAAGATCTACAGAAAATGTTTATATTCCCAAGACTGAATAAAGAAAGTTTTAGACTCTTCAAAATTAAGGTCAGTATTTTCTGTACCAGAAGGAACACTAATAGTCTGTAAATAATTGCATACCTTTGATCAAGACACTTAAATTTACTGTGTCATTTTTCTCTACTGCTAAAAAGAAGTAATACCTAACTTCCTCAAAGAGGCACTGAAAGGATAAATTAAACATACATATATGCATGTTCAAGTGATCAATTACCTTGTAAATGCCAAGTATTATTATAGAAAGTACCACAGTGACAGGAATGGAGAGTCCTGTTTTTTTAAGAGAAGCTTAAACATTTTTCAGCACTGCCCAAGGATGTTTCAAGTTAAGGACTGGAAAAAGGGTGACTTACTAAATCACTGTTTTCAAACCCCTCTCACTTGCCGTGGTGGAATTAAGATACCATAGATGAGTCTGCGTGATTTCTCATTCTTCCCATGGCTCAAACCCAAAGACCTGTGCCATGACAACCTTCAGGATCAACTGGCTTCATAAGTCTGGCCTGATGGATGATGCTTTGTGGTCAGAAGAATTGTGTAACGTGCATGAAATGAGAAGGTAAGTTTGGAGCAACTCCTACCTTTTGCTTACACCCAAGCACAGACAGAGAGGAAAGAACGGAAGAGAAACGGAACTGAAACCCATCTCTTTCTCAGCATACAGAATACTATGCACATTAATAAATATTTTTAAGTTCACTAAAACAGTGGAAGAAAATGCTATAATCTTCACAGTAATTCCATTTCTCCTTAAAACTCTTCCCTATTACTGCACTTACTCTCAGTATGTTGGAGTGCGAACTGAATCTTTATGTGCACATTTCCTACAGAAAAATGAAAGGGGGGGTCTGCATACTTGCCTGTTTGTGGGAATAAGCTCTATATTTGCTTCTTTTAAAAAAAAGGCTCATAGTTATTCTGTGGAATTGGCTGATCAAAAAATCTTCAGCCTAGTAGAGTATATGGCACACTTCTACAAATGTATTAATGTACATGCATCACAAGAATAAGATGAGCATTATTTGGTGAAATGTTTTTTTTCCCCTGCATTCTCACTAAGATCCTTTAGAAAGTCAAGCACAGTGCAGCTTCACTTTGCAACGTGGTGCATTTACCATCCTAAAGATGTAACTGATGTTCTTTACATTGATAACCAAGTCCAAACGTAGCTTTTCCTATCACAGATTGTTTAGCTGGGCTCAAAGCCCAGCATAATTGCCTCATTTCTGGACTTCCTTTTGAAAACAAGCGCTGCTATTCCATTTATTCTACTTCAGAAAATTTCAGCATCTGTTGGTGTTCTCAATTCCTAGCAGAATGCCTCTTGCACTCTGTTTTGATAAATGAGGTTGCTAAACAACAGATTAATAGTAACTTAGAACCAGGGATGCAGATTTAATATCTGTAAAATAAACTTAAGCCCACCATTCATTCCTTTAAGAAACCATCACCACCACCAAGCAAAACTGGTCATCTCCTTTTGCCTACCACCCCTTTCCTAACCATAACACAGTCATCTTTCACTTCTGCAGTGACTTGTTTCCCCCTCCCCCTTAAACTACAGATACGAGCCATTTGCTTGCAACTAATTAATATACGGCAATTAGTGCTTGCCAAGGCGACCAAACAGATATACAGAATGGATGGATGTTGCAAAGTGAATCAACTAAAGCCTCACAGTAATAACCACTAAAACATCACTGTCACAACGCAGTATCTTAGATACCATGCTTTGTACTTATAAAAAGAAGAAACTTCCGTATTTAAGGGGGTGCTCAACTACTGGCAAAGAAACTTAGTTGGAAGGTCTATGGTGTGAGATGAACTTTGTTTGGCAGACTTTAAAAGGGGAGCTGTTCAAGTAAGCTTCCTCTTATACTGAAAGAAAGTCAGGAACAGAGAGGGGAGATCTTAAGGATTAAGTATCTGCTTTTAATTAATTTTTGTTTAGCCACATACAGGTTATTTTGAAAGGCAGCTTTATGTCGCCTAGACAAAACAGGCACCTATCTGAAAGTATTTACACATACCTGCCATCCTATTCCCACTGCAATCTTACCTGAGCACATCTGTGCAGTATTACTTAATATAAACATCTGCCCACGAGCAGCTGGGTACCACCATATGAATAGTTCCATGGCACCATGCTGTCTGCACTCACTTTGGCTGCATTTTAGGAGATCTGAATAGAATTTCATCAACAGGCTACAGAACCAAACAATCTGGTGTAAAGGAGAAGGAAAGTGGCGAGGGATATTAGGAAGATACATATAATAAGCACAAGGAAAAAGAAACAATCACTTAATAACCGATTTCAAAGGATTTCAGCAGCATCTTTTCACACACTGAAATTCAGATGACAGCAGTGTCCCATCCAATATTGTGTTATTCATTCAGTCCCCTTCTCCAGCCTCGGATGGACCAGCTCACCAGTGAAGCCCATCCCCACAGAACTCCTCATACGAGAAACCTACCTTCTGCTGCTGTAAGGCAATGTCTCCAGTGGTTTCTGCTGCTTTAACCACATCGCGGTGTGGGTTTCACATTCTGAGGCCATGCTGAATACTGCAAACCACAGTGAGAATATAGACTACAACAGGAAACAGATGTGGTGCAACCACAAACACTACCTTTACTGAAAGAACGAGTAGTTCCACAAAAAAATGAAACTAAGTACAGAAATTAAATGGCCTCAGAAAAAATACCAGATATCCTATCTGTATGTTAAGGGCTTTGCTTATCCTAGAACAATAATGAACGCAAAACTACAGCCTCATGAAAATACAGCTTATTTAAAGTAAATGAATTAATATTGAAAATGTGGTCGTATTTTAAGATGCTGCACCTAATGGTCAGCAGGAGCAATGAAAACCACCAACTCTGAAATATCACTTCTTTAAATGACAGACTAGACTGCACAGTGAAATATGCTAAGGGCCTTTATGGCCGTCAGATACCATGGATTCAATTCGCTCTTGAATACCAGTAAGTAACTGTTATAAAATAGGCTAATGCAGTGAATTCACCTTTCTGATAATCTGGGATTTGAATGCATGGTAGTTTACACTCGTAATTTGATTGGTTTAGGTCTAGAGCTCAACCATTACACCTCCCTGGTCTGTGAAAATAATGTTCAGCTCTAGTTAGAGCTCGTGCAGGAGCCAAGATAAAGCTATGCAGGGCCCCAAACAGGACTGGCAGCTTTTGCAGGTCTAGCAGACCAAGACCTGTGGCAGTAGGGACACTCGCTCATATCCACAGCACTGAGGAGATGCTTGTGATGGAAACTGTTTGTCCCTATTGGGCCACACTAAGATTAACATCAAACCTAAGAGCCCGTTCTTCAAGGTGCCAGACAACCTCAGTAATGATGACTCCAGGAGAAGACAGCGTGCAGGCACTGGAAAGAACATACTTTCCAGTGCAAATCTGGGAGACTGTCAGACAGAGCTGATACCATTTACTCATAGTTAACCTAGTGCCCTAAACAGGGTGATAGTGTGCAAACCATTACCTTTCATCTTAACTCACAAGCACAGTTTAACTTTGGATGTGCAACCACAGTCACAGACCAGCCCAGGTTGGAAGAGACCTCGAAAGGTCATCTGGTCCAACCCTTTGTGGGAATGGGAGCCTAGATGACATTATCTAGCACCCTGTACAGTCACATCTTGAAAACTTGCAGCAATGGGAAACTCAGACACATGCCTCGGGAGGTTACTCCAGTGAATGATTGCTCTCACTGTAAAAATAAGTTTCTTATTTGGAGATGAAACTTCTTCCAGTATAACTTGTACTCATTGCTCTCGTCCTCTCCATGCAGCTTCTTCTGAAGGGAGAACCTCCATCCTCCTTGTAGCTGACCTTTAAGTACTGGGAAACTGTGATGACATCCCCTCCTGAGCCTTCTCCTCTCCAGGGAGAAAAGACCTAAATCCTTCAGCCATTCCTCATAAGGCAGGTTCTCCAGCCCTTTGAATATCTTCATGGTCCTCCTTTGGGCCCTGTCCAGTCTGTCTATTTTAACTGTGGGGACCAGAGCTGGACACAGTAGTCTAAATGCAGCCTGACAAGCACTGAGTAGAGTGGGATGTTCACATCTCTATTTTTGCTCTCAATGCCCCTGCAGATGCAGCCCAGGATCCAATTTGTTGCTGCAGCAGCGCACTAGACTCACGTTGTCCTGCTTGTCCTCCAGGATCCCCTGTTCCCTTTCAGCAAGTCTGCTCTCCAGCCACACAGATCCTAGCCTGTACTGGGCTCTTGACTTATGTCATCCCATGTGCAGGACCTTGCACTTGTCTCTGTTAAACTTCACACAGGTCTTGCTAGCCCACTTTTCCATCCTGTCCAGGTCTCTCTGTAAGACATCTTCCTTCTGAGATGTCCACTTCACCACTCAGTTTAGCACCATCAGCAAACGTGGTAAGGGTCCTTTCAATGC